TGTGTTTATTCAGTAACTGTTAATTCAACGCTTTGCGTTGAATTCAGAATAAACTATTTCTGAGCTCTCAACGATGTCAACAGTTTCAACGACAACGCCAACGAAAACGCCAACGCGTTGTCAACGAAAACGCAACGGGTTGAATGCGTTAAATTTTTGCAATAAAACTGGCCGGTACTGTACATTAATGAGTTACCTGCAAAAATGCGGTAAGCTACTTTTGAATACACTTTTATTCGTTCAGTTTCAATAATGGTGTGAAGTGGCATCTGTGATATTAGGAGTAGGATAGGAGAGGATATTCTAGTCATTAGATGACAATGAACTTGCTGTACATGCTCTTGTGATACAAATTGCAATCGCACGTTGTAAGTGAAAAATAATTTCAGAAAGATAGGTGGGCTTGTAATTCTCTGTAAAATAAACCCATTCGCGAATTTTGTTATAGGTAAAGTTGAGCAACAATTTATGAATAAATCCTTAAAGCGTCCTGGACATGTGTTTTTTCACTATTGGAAAACGGATTTTAGGGACCCAGTCTTATTCGGGCAAGCCTTTTATGATATAGGCTACTTTACCATACAGTAATGTAATGTGCAATGCTTTACAGTAGTTATGTCCGACCCTTGACAACATGCAACTGTAGGCAGATTTTCAAAGAAGGCCATGCCTATTATTTTTTGTGCGAAATACAAAACAATCAAAGTTGCCATTTACATACAGTAGTAATTACATCATCCCAATCTCACCCGGATTAATTAATCCATCTCTGCAAATTCATTATTTTGCATGTTTGCACTGTCTTTTTTTTTTTTTATCAATTTTCTCACGGAAGTCAGTGTCAAACAAGAGGGAAGCCGGCACAAACCACCTAAATATTAAACAGAATATACATGAACACACAGATATAGTGATCAGTTGCTAGGCAACGAAAGTGACCGTCATCCACACAGAATGCAAGAGTGTCATGTTACCTCTGAAGTCTTTGTAAAAGCGTGGTTTACGTTTCGTGGCAAATCACTTTAGCGCGCTGTGTAACAAACACGATCATACAAGAATATCTCATCAACTATTATAGAGAACGTTTTCACAGGGTAAGGAAGTTAATTCATTGAAATTAGATAAGAATGGATGAAGATACCGCTGCTAATTTCGACGAGGATATAGGCCTGAATGCATCCTGGATTAATTCTGTACGAATGGATGATAATAATGCCGAAGATCACTTGGACAACCCTTTCCTATATTCGGACGATATTCAAGACGAAACAGATATGGACCTAAGTGCATCTTGGATTGACACGCTGAAGGATGCAACAGACACAGGTCCTCTGTACAAAGGATCCAAACTCACTGTGGTCGATAGCATCGCACTTCTGCTCAGTTTTAGTTTAGAACACAATGCTACCATTCGGGCTTTAATAAGTCTACTTGCTATAATACAGCTACATGCCTAAAAACGTGAAGGTGCAAAATCATTTTAAGTCACTGTACTATCTGAAGAAAATGTTTGATCATGGAAAAAAAAAAAACACAATAACGAAGCACTACACATGTAGTCACTGTAGCATGATATGCGAAAATCAGGCTGCTTGCCGTTGCAGGATGGACTTGTCGAAAAAAAGGATTATTTCATTACGGTAGATGTTGCAAGTCAACTTGAGGAACTGTAGAAAGGTTAGTACATTCACCATGTTTATTACCGATGTAAAACTGGTTCTCACAATATCATTTCATATTGAAGCAATTTTTTAAGTTCTGAACACTTGGAAAGAACTTATAAATAATACAATACATAACATGCACTTGTGATACAAATTTGAAGTCACTGTACTATCTGAAGAAAATGTTTGATCATGGAAAAAAAGACACAATAACGAAGCACTACACATGTAGTCACTGTAGCATGATATGCGAAAATCCGTTGCGGGATGGACTTGTCGAATATCAATATTTCCCAAATTTTTAACACAAGTGGGAGTGATAATCTAAAAAATGTTTCTATGTGCCCTTAATAAGAATTTTAATATTAAATTATGAAATTATTTCAACACAGATATATAAGATTTTTTTTTTTACAGATCAAGACTTCTTACCAGCAATTAATGCTCAGAAACAGTCCAAACAAGGTACCGGTACTATTATAAAGGATATATATGATGGTGAGAACTACCATAAGGCAATTGAAAGTGGGTATACTAGGCATCCTAGGAACCTTACTGTTACTTGGCACTTCGATGGAGTTCAAGTTTCAAAAAGCTTCAAATTAGCAATCTGGCCTCTCCATAGTTACATTAACGAGTTACCTGCAAAAATGCGGTAAGCTACTTTTGAATACACTTTTATTCGTTCAGTTTCAATAATGGTGTGAAGTGGCATCTGTGATATTAGGAGTAGGATAGGAGAGGATATTCTAGTCATTAGATGACAATAAACTTGCTGTACATGCTCTTGTGATACAAATTGCAATCGCACGTTGTAAGTGAAAAGTAATTTCAGAAAGATAGGTGGGCTTGTAATTCTCTGTAAAATAAACCCATTTGCGAATTTTGTTATAGGTAAAGTTGAGCAACAATTTATGAATAAATCCTTAAAGCGTCCTGGACATGTGTTTTTTCACTATTGGGAAACGGATTTTAGGGACCCAGTCTTATCCGGGCAAGCCTTTTATGATATAGGCTACTTTACCATACAGTAATGTAATGTGCAATGCTTTACAGTAGTTATGTCCGACCCTTGACAACATGCAACTGTAGGCAGATTTTCAAAGAAGGCCATGCCTATTATTTTTTGTGCGAAATACAAAACAATCAAAGTTGCCATTTACATACAGCAGTAATTACATCATCCCAATCTCACCCGGATTAATTAATTGGCACTGCCTTTTTTTTTTTTTTATTTCTCACGGAAGTCAGTGTCAAACGAGAGGGAAGCCAGCACAAACCACCTAAATATTAAAAAATTATGAAAAAATGGAATAGAATTGAAAATAATATTCAAATAGAAGGCCAGCCACATCAACTGTTTGTCTCTTATACACATCTAGATGTGTATAAGAGACAGGTCTATGGCAGATCAATAAATAATCATTAAACTGTACTCACATGTTTGTTGTGTTACAAACTATTTACAGCTTTCTGTAAGCAATTTTTTTTGATACCCACTAAAATTAATAATACAAAAATATAAGAAACATTCGATCCAGAGAGCTATGTACTTTGTAGATGCTCTACTCACTTTAGCTATTAGGCATAGTTAGTATTCATACCCAGTCAATTGTTTCCTGTGGTGTTTGAAGGGAGCATATCTTGGCAAATAGATTCAGAACAAAATTAAGTGGTGCATATCTTTTCTTTTTTTTAGATGTTTTATGTTGATCAACCCTGACAAAGGGTCTAAGACGGAGGCCAGAAAGTCAAAAAAGTACTCAATCCACCCTAAGGTGTTGACGCTAATCAACCGCATTAGTGATTTCGAATGGACGTGCTAAATCTGTACATTTATATGCAAGTAAAGTTTTAATTGTACCATAAAATAAATAAATTATTAAATATGCACTCTCAAATAATTGCCACACTGGACTTGCACTTATTTTTGATAATCCTTAGTTGCTTGAATGATATTTTTAAAACTGAACACAAGCTTTTGTACAAGACATTGTACTGTTTTCACTTGTAATTTCAGTGAGCGCCACAGTAAGTTCTAATAACTTTGCATGCGCTGTGGTGCTTATTTAATCATTTTAATACCATATGAGGTATGCCATCCTAAAACCAGCATCTGGTGGCCAAAAAACAAAAATTAACCTTTTAATATATTCATAATTTCCACATTATAAGATTTAAAAAATTTTTGTATTGGAAGAAAGAAATTGAATCAATGTAAAATTTAACAAACTATTTTACCCCTTACTCCGAGCATACTGTTTGTACGCTGTTGTATAACAAATGTATTTTTATATTTTCAAATATTGCAACTCGAGTGAAGTTTTTAAATATGTATTGACCCTATTCTTGTAACTCTAAGATCTCAGTGCAAGTTTTGTATTGAAGGAAAATGCTATTGTAGTGTACAAACTATTTTACCCCTTACTCCCTCCAGCATAAAGTATAAAATCTAAGTACAGTATAAGTTTTACATTGAAGGAAAATGCTATTTGTGTAAGTGTACAACTGAGTTTAGTACCCTTTACCCAAGCAACTTTATTTTTATGTATATTTCCAAATATTGCAACTGAGCTGGAGTTTTTATATGCATTGACCCTATTTTTATAAGTCTAAATCACAAGCAATGCATACAATTTTAATTGTAAATATTGGGTAAAAATTGCATGTTTTACTAATTACACAGTTAATTGTAATTTATGCTTTAGTACTCGTTCATATGTAAATACATATGCTGTACATACATTTTGTTGTTTAACTTAATCATTCAGTCCATCTTGTCATGATGGTGTGAAGCGGGGTTGTGGAGAATGTGATAGTTGGTCATTGAAAATGTTACTTTTTGCAGTGTCAGCTTGTGATAGTGTGAAATCTTTACCAATGGCATCTTTACTAAAAAATTTAAAAAACTAACAGTTTTACTGTAGAAAAAATGTCAGTTTTGCAGTAAATAAAATGGTTAATTTTACGGTAAAATGTATGGCAGCAGTTTTGCCATGAAAAAAAACCGTAAAATTTACAGGTGTTTTTCAGAAAAATGTAATAATTTAACGGTTTTTTTAATGGTAATGTATTTTACGGTATATAAAAATATACGGTGTCTGGGATAAAGCCCGTAAATTTTACAGTTTTTTGTTGGCAAAACTGCTGCCATACTTTCTACCATAAAATTAACAATTTTTTTTTTCAGTGTACCATAATGCTATCATCCAAGTTCTGTGTTCTGTTGCAAGTTCATTCTACACCAGCCAATGGAAACAAAATTCTTTATTATTACAAGACTCTCCTATGTAACTACATGCAATTGAATACTTTTCTAGAACAACTTTTAAAGGCAATTACTAATATTAGCAGATTAGCAGACCAATCTGATGCAAATCACTATATTTTATCACTAAAGAGTAGACAAACCATTCATGCAGCACTAGTTCATTCATTCAAATCATTGTAATGTTGATTTTTTGTGTACTGCTTGTACATTCAACAAGGCATCGCGAACAAGTTTCGTTACAAACAAATCATATTCCAGGACTAAAGAGTGGTGTTGCTGGTTGAACATCAAATACACTGTCTAACCAACCACCAGCGGTTCAGATGCACATTATTCCTTACAGTCTTTTAAAGATGCACCCAAACTCGAGAACTTAACAGTTACTGTATGCCAAGCTCGAAGCAGGATGCTGGAAAAGCAATCAAACTATTAAAAATGGCCCGACGTTTAATATCCCGATATATTCTTGTTGAAAGGTACTGTGATTTTATTATGAACATAACAATGAATATTTGAATAATAAGAGCCTAACACTGTGAGGCACTGACGTGCCGAATTTAGAAGAGGACCATTATTGGTGACTCTAACACTTACCTTGAGAGTGATTTAATTTACTTACATTTCTCGGTTATGTTTTTTATTCATTTGTATTCACTAAAGAATCAATGAAGAACTATCAGGTCACTTGAAGCTCACAACTATTTTGTGTCTACTTGGGTTTTCATTTTGACGACAGTGAGAAAATTCTTTTTGCTAAAGGCCATCACAAAGAATTAATGTTAAGCCACACCATCTTTGGGTAATAGTTAAAAAAAAAGATGACAGCGTAGTATCAGCAAATTGCGATCAATCAATGTGATGTGTGCCACTGTAACAAAAATGATTCCGAATAAAAACTGAACTAAACTACTCACTATTTTTGGGTAATCATCTCACAAATTTCAACAAAACAGTTGTAGAAGCTATCTGTAAATTGCCATACTTGTGCTGAGGAAATCCAGTTGCTAGGTGTCACTTGTCACACACAAAAATGGTACCGATGAACTTGAAGAGTTTGAGTATAAAATAAATCTGAAGGAACAAAAGTCAATGACTTGGTAAGACAACAGAACTCTGTATTAACACTTAAAAAAAAACATTTAGATGCATCCAGGAATTCAGATCTGGCATTATTGACAAAGATGGCAGAAGTCCTACGACAAAAACAAAAAAAACACCATGGCAATAATATCATAGATTTTTGCTGGCAATTGTGTATCCAAAAAGCATGCAAACCATCACACACAAAAGTAGTTTGGGTTCCTCATTGGTCAAAAAAAAAATTGCCCCCCAAAAAAATATTAACTACATTTTGGGTAGTCAGCTTGGCAACACAAATTTTATTGAATTGCCTACAATACAATATAATGACAAAGAACAAAAACAAAATTAATTGCAAGAAAGAAGGCATTTGCATAAATGGTTTCAAAGTCTGGTCTGGCCATAATCACATTAATTTTTCCTGGAAAATGTTCCTAACAAAAAGTCTATGCTGCACCACTGTATGATTAAAAAAAAATAGAAAAATTGTTTTGACCTCTGAAAAAAATAGATGGAAAAAGTCTAACTAGTGTATTAGAATAGGCACTAAGATACAGCAGTAGCTGGACTCGTGCACGTTTCAGTTTCCGTATGATACTACGACTTACAGATTCCTATTATTATAAACTACCAAATTGTATAATTTAGAAAGTACAGTAATTCATATTTTCAACAAAGGAAAATTTGTAAATCATATGGTAACTGAAACGAGTCAGCTACTGTACTGTAGTGCAAACTAATTAGGTCTATTCTAATGCACCAATTTTTAAATTTTTTTTCAATAATTCAGTCGTGTAGAATAGTCTTATAAGAACATTTTCCATGAAAAAGTAATGTGATACGACCCTCCGTTATGGAGTTATGAATTTTTAAGTAAGGGCAAATAAAAATTTTTTTATTAAATTATCACTCCTGCCCGCGACTGATGCGGGAATAATTTTTATGTTATTTATTTATTTAATTTTTTTTTTTGTCGCATAATTTATTTAACTGTATAAAAACAACTTTGTGAAAAACAAATGCTCACAAAATATAAAGGAATTGGCTCCAAATTCAGCAGACTTCAAACTCTTCCAATTGATTAGATCAGACATTGGGATCGTTGTAAGTTGAAAATGCAAAGCCCACTCTTTAAAATTGTTTATTGTCGCTAAAAATAAACAGCTTGCTATCTGCGGTTAAAAATAGACAACACATTTCTAAGAGACTCGCCCAGTGGGCTGATTGGATCGTTAATTTACAGCATGTAGACGTAACTCGCGTGTTCCACAGTGCAGCTAAAAATAGGCAACACCGCAGTCTGTCCCTAAAGAGACCCCCCAGTGGGCTGATCGGATTGTTGATTCACAGCATGAAGACTCACATTTTCCACAGAGACTCTCGCAGCTAAAAATAACTTGTTACATGTGGGCGGCCTTCCTTGTGATGGGGGTGTGGTTGGATTGGTTGTTGATAGGCAAAAACTAACATACGACATCAAGAAAGTCTAAAGTTTAAGCAGGCTGGCCTAGCTCGAGGTAAGACCAAAGCCTAAGTGCCTATACCTACTATAACCATAATTAGGGTGTTCCCTTCCATTTTTGATGCTCGAGTAATGTCTGATTTTTTCCAACGGAACATAGGCCTAGTTTTGGATAGGCCAATGAATCACAGGGCAGTTGTTTGAAATGCATCTTCCACTTCAAAAAACGATGTCATGTTCGTTTTGTTGTTGCACACGGGAATCCCCGGGTATAATCCCACACCTGCACTCATCAATTTTTTTTAAAAAAAGAGTAATAATCTAATCATTTTTTCTATGTGCCCTAACACAAGGTCAAGAATTTAGCCTCAAAGCTTACCTCATTTATTGTTAGTTACGCACCACTGACTTGGGTTAGGGTATGTTGATAATTTTCAACATAGGATTTAAAACAACGTAATTTTCCAACTTTTGAACAATAGAATTACAGGAATCTAATTTTAACAGGTGCATATGTATCTCATACCTTCCAACTACAAATTCATAAAATTAAATTGCATCCTGCCTGTATGTAAAATGTAATCATCCTTTTGCCAATTTTACGCTAGTTTTCAACACCCCTTCGGAGGCCTTAGCCAGTTTCGACCGTAAGTTTACGACAGTCAGTGCTATTTTCACAATTTTCAACTCTTGGAAATACAAATTTATTCGCCTAACAATAATAGAAATGTTAAATAATAGTTAATTTGAAACTATTTCACTGTAAACTATCCTTTTACTATAATGAAAGTACACAAAATTAGACTTCTGTGATTGCATGTCTTACAAAAAGTAGCGAAAAATGGCTACTTCGCCATCTTGGTTTTAGGACGCCCTCTATAATTTACTAGTAATTAACGATAGGATGTCGAATAATAACCCCAACCTTTGCTCTGTGACCTAACCTCTCTCTTTTCGTATTTGCTAATTGTAAGCCACGTGACAGCGGCCATGGCCATGTTTCGATCTCAATGTTTTTAGAATTAAATTTTCTTTCACATAAATGTAAACTTGGGATAGATTTTTCCGCTCTAAGGTAATTAATTTTAGATGTTATATGACACCATATTCTTATTCTCCCTTGGGAATATCAAATTTCATAAAAATTTGAATTTATAATTGAAAAAAAAATTTGTTTTTTGTGAACAGTTTTTGTTCGCGGGTCAATACTTCACACTGTTAAACAAACCTAGGTCGAAAATTAGCGACTTACCCTAGGTTGTTTGTCATCACTTCATGGAAAAGTCGTATTACATGAACATCAAAATCAATGATTGAGAGGGTGAATGACAGCTGTCAAAATAAGGTACTACTAGTACTGCTGTATGAAGTTTTTTTGAGCGCAATCCAATGTTTTTGCTCTACAAAATTTCAGTGTGGGGCGCCAGGTGGTGGAAGGAAGCACAAACTTTTGAGGATGTTCCGCCAATCGCACATTCACAACCACGTAGATACGCCACAGTTCTGATGAAAGGAAAGAAAGTGCAAGGCTACAGGTAGGTGATAAAATCACATTTCTTTATTAGCAAAGAAAGAACATGCCAGCCTAAATTAACCAAGATACTTTGCTGATTAGTAAGGTGACAAAGTAGGATTGGCCTAGACTTAACTAAAAATAACAATAAATTTCAAATACCTGTTGAATACTGTATCCACGGGCGTCACATGCGTGAAGCCTAGCCTCGGCCTAATAATAATTATAAGGTAAAAGGAGTGTGTACCATGCGAGCACAGCAAAGCGGCCGTGTGTGGCTGAGCCCGACAACAACGTCAATAGCCTAGCCTAGCTAAGCCTAGGCTACTCACCGTTCACATCACTCATGAATCATAATCATTCAAATTTCACCCGGCACTTTTATACCAAGAAGGTATATACCTCCATGTTTATCATTTCTTTTGCTCAAATTCCAATAAAATTCGGCCTAAACTTCAGATCAAACTTCTGCGCCATGTGAACATTGAATAAACTTCTTGTAGAGGGCGGCAGACTGGTTTTGCAACGGGGATATGATGATAATAATTATGGATTTTGTTATACAGTACACTGTAGTAAGAAAAGATAAGCAAGGGCGGATCCAGAGATGTGCGAAAGAGGAGGCGAGAAGGGGGGGGGGGGGGGGGGGAGTGGCGAAAGATCGAGACAAAATTACCATAGGGTGTCCTCGATATTTTTGTTTTCTAGACTCCCGAAAATTAACTCTGGGGCGTTTTGGGAGATCAATTATTTCCTTTCTTTTTCCTTCCTTCTTTTTTTTTTTTTTTTTTTTTCTTTTTTTCTACTTTCTAAAAGGTGGGGACGGAGCCGGCCCGGCCGCCGTTAAATCCGCCCCTCGTAAGATAAAATCTATAGTCATTATTCAAACAGGTGACCATTAAATTATTGAGCTTGCTGCAATTTCAAAAGTTAGAATAAAAAAAAAAAAGAAACGAACATATAATCTCAATACAATAGCAACAATGATGGCCATGTTCTGGTTTTTTTTTCCAGTAAATTTTAAAAGTGTTATTAGAAAATCTGACACGATAAAAAAAAAAAATATATTGCATCGCTAGATTATGAACTTTTTTAAAATAAGAAGCAGTAACATTTTGCCCAGGCTTATTTTTTTGCCGATTCCAGGCTAATGTTCATATTTTTACACACATTTAATTTTCAAACATAGGAAATGTATTAATATAAAGCAATATATATTACTGGATCGTCCAAAGAAAATACTAGACTGTAAACAGTGAAGCCCAGCGTGACCGTATATAGGCCTAAGTGCTCTATACAGCCTTAATATTCAATCTGAAAAAAACATACAGTTAACAACGTTTAATAGTCTGCCTCGACATAAAATTGTTTAATATTAAACGTTATATATAATATATAATTGAAATTAAGTAGATTGTACTTACTACTATGATATATAATATATATCATGTATATATCATGGAGAAAATAAAATATTTTATTTTCTCCATGTATATATCTTGAGGATATTTCCCGTACGATTAAAATCGTAACGGTACTGGGTTTGGTCTACAGGAGCTCGTGTTTCGTACAGACAGGTCATTCCATTCATAGAAAAAGCCTTTAAAATGGTGAAAGCGTACCTGTCATTAGCCGTAGTAGCCTAGGTCAATACATAACGCCGGCTGTATAAAATTTATTATAAGATTGAAAATGTTAATCTTATTATTGCAGTAGTGATACACTATGTACACGGTTTAGTTATTGTTATTTATTCGTTAACGTTATCATATTAATATATAAATTTAATGTATTGTTTAAGTATGAATTACTATGTCTATGTTAAAAAATTAATTTTATCTATTAAAATTGTATATTTAAATAATATAGTAAGAGGCACTGATATAGCCGAGGTCTAGCCTAGACCAGTCCTAAAACAAATGAATGTGTGAGTGTATAAATCTATGAAAAATATGAAGGAAAAACGCAAAATTGTGAAAGAATAAAGGAAGAAGGAAGAATAGTTATATCTGTCTCTTATACACATCTAATATACAATAGTAGTTAATATGCTATTATTGCATTACGTTTTTGTAAACAATTTTGGGCACTAATCGTCAGAGGTCTCGGTGCCACAGCCTACACTTTTCATAATTCGAAATCGAATCGGACCTTAAGTGATTTCTTCTTGGATGGAGAGGACGTCTCTTTTAATTATCTTAGACAGTTGCAGGATGCTGGGGCTATAGTCAAATACCATAGGTAGCCGATCTTATTATTATTATTTTTACTTATGTACATTTTTTTTATATTCATTGATTTCTAAACTGTATTTTATTTGTCATCATGACATCATGCGTTATATTATTTAAACTCATACATATACCTTATATTTCTGCTATTTATTTTCTATTCCACAATTGTTTTAATTATATAGGACCTTATAAATCTTACCATGGAGAAAATAAAATTTTATTTTCTCCATGTGTATATGTATGTACAGAACGCAGATTAACCAATGGATGGCTATAATAAAACAAAGAAACAATACAAAACGTGTAATGAAAAGCCTAAGAACAATAGAAAATTGGCTTTTCATTACACGTTTTGTATTGTTTCTTTGTTTTATTAAGGCCAACTCAGACAGCGTCGGCCGACGCAGCCCGACCCGATTTATCGTCGGGGACAGTCTTAAGCCGTCGTGAGAAATTTTAAACACGTTTAATATTCTACTACGGGACTGCCCCCGACGCACACCATCGCGTCTGCGTTCAACTCACCCAGACCCGACGCGACAACAGATCGCGTCGGGCTGCGTCGGCCGACGCTGTCTGAGTTGGCCTTAATCTGCAAGTCAATGAATCTGTCTATTGATGTATCCTTAGTACGGTATATACCGGTATTTATTCATGAGTCTTTAATGATTAGTCTATTGGGTCTATAATGATTAGTCTATTGGGTCTATGTTCCCTACGCCTATCGATACCGTACCTGTCTATTGACCATTACCTAACTGTAAGAAGAGGCTTGGTAAAGCAACTATCAATCATTCAATAGATGTGTATAAGAGACAGTCAACATGTCGAAAACACACACGTTTGATAGTAGACGAATGAGGGCGCTTCGTATGGAACGCCCGGGGTGCATTTATTGCTGCAGTTCGCACTGGATGTTCACATTCAAAATAATGACAGCTGCGATGCGGAGGTAAGGTAACGCGGTTACTAATGCGTTTACACGGCCACTTAACACCTATATCACCGGATAAACGCGATCATCACGGTGCTCTCCTGCCGTTTAAACAAGGCTATAGTGACTTAACTGCCGCTTTAGATTTTCCTAACCTTTGTTTTTATTGTACTGATTTGTGTAATGTTCTTGGTTAAAAAAATAAATGAATTGAATGAAATGAGAAGATTATTATATTACTTATCTCAAGTGATCACCAGCAGCAGTGATTCTGTCAACGGATCCCGTCAATGACGGCCATGTGTCTTCTGAGGAAGATGGCTACCTAACAGTATTCATATTGATTTTTTAAACGGTGATGACAAAACATTCTGTATGATTTTATTCTTTTTAAGGTATTTTGTGTACCTTGTGTATTATATATTATGTTGTAAAATTAATGCAAACAAAAAATATATTTAAAAAAAAATTTCATCGTTATCATAATAATAACCATCATCAGAAAGCAAGTATTTATACTGCGGATTCCTTGATTCTTCTCTTAATTTCATTCTCCATAAAACGTAACATAACCACAAATTTTGTTCTTTTTGATTGCAACTACATCACATACTACTCTTATTACAGTTGCTGTTGCTAGGCTGACCAAGCAGCCAGAACAATAAGCAGCTTGCCAGCTTTGAATAACTGTAAAACCTGTCTCTTATACACATCTAGATGTGTATAAGAGACAGTATATATATATATTAAAGAAGTGTAACAGAAATGTGGCTATCCAGTAAACATTATATAAATTTATATGTTACAGTATATCAAATCACCTATACACAAAATAGAAAATCAAGAAATGGTGGGTGACACTTTAGGTAAACTTTAATTTAAATCACAGAAACAATGTATCTTCTATCATAAGGGAAGGTAGAGCATCTTCGCCGAATCCAAATCAATAAATCAATCGTATGTGGCATACGATTCTATACACACCTTTGTGCCACTACCAACTGTTAATAAATCTTGGAGAAATAATGCATAAAATAAACAGTGAAAATAAACTCGTTTACCTTATGGGGGATATCTTGATATAAAAAAAATGCAATTTCGATAGTAATGTCTAGAACCATATTGATAGTGTTGTCCGAGAGTCCTTTGTAAACAACATGTATTATATTATTACGGACAATACAGCGTCTCTATCCTTGATAACATTGTTTTATACAAAGTTATCGCGTACTAAATTTAACATAGGAATATTAATTAACGACTTATCAGATAATTTTCCAGTATTTTGTGTTGACAATTCAGAAATAATTAACAGGATGGAGAACTAAAGATTACAATTTTAAACGTGAGCATTCCGTTGAAACTAAACAACTTATTAGAATTTAACTCTAGGGCAATCATGGCAAATAAAATGTGTCTAATAGTGAAGATGCAAATGAGGCATAACCAAGGTGTTCGTAACATTACAATTCCAATATAGACACACTCTGGATCACTGATATTATTGACAAATCAATTCGCCATAAAAACTATATATCAACTACGAAATCCAACAGACTGATTCTTTCTTCCATAGCTTTGGGTCCGACCATCTATAGTACCCGAAATAAAGAAAATCTCTATTATTGAACTAAAAGCAGCAAAACGTGGGCAAAATCATTACACATTGCGAACAAAAGTTACGGAACTAAATTAGTAGGAGTGACATAGAACCTGTAGTTCAATATCGATTTAAAAAAAAAAATTATACTTCATCAATCGTAGGCCTTGGATATGCCATCATCATCATCATCATCATCATCATCATCATCATCATCATCATCATCATCATCATCATCATCATTTATTTATAAGTCAGCATTCATTTTCGCTCTTACGAAGGGTTACTGACTTTCATGCCATGATGACACCCATTTTCCACTTCTTCCTGTCTTGAACCTCCTCCTCGTTTAGACCAACCATACCGCTTTCTTTCTTCCCCATTCCATATAAATTTCGGTCTTTTCCTTTCCCTCTTATACCAAGCGCTTCCTGATCCCATGCTCTTTACACAGGTTATCTTCCTTTCTCAACACATATGACCCATCCATCTCAATCCACTTCTCTCTTTTACTACTTTTAATAGTTTCTTCCACCAACCCAAACCAAATCAAACCCGATACCATTGACGAGAACACATGTCAAATATGTCTTAAAATAATACAATTATAATATAAAAGAATGTTTTTTTACTTCACTATCTATCTCAATTTAATTGAAATATTTGACTTAGTAAAATCACCCGGGGCTCAACCTGGACCCACCCCACACGGTATTAGTACTAGTAGGGTGTATAGAAGCTTTAGACAATGGCCTCAGAGAGGCCTCTTTGTGACGCCACTGCAAATTAGTAAACAAGAAAAAATAATGGAAGCGACACCATTTCTTTGAGTTTATTTCACGTTTATTTTAGTTTGTACATTTCACAATATAAAAAGCTTATTCGAATAATAAACTATCAAATTGTAGCGCCCTCATATTTATGTCGCCACATATACATCAACTTGTAGCCAATCACAGCACTGTAAACAATTTCCCTTGAACAGAATAATTACGAACTCATTTTTGCTACATGGTCGTTTGTGGAAATCCTGTCCTTTGTTTTTATTTAGTTGTTTAACAAATCAAGAGCTTAAACATGCTGACGGAAAATTATTTCAATGAGCGTTTACTAAGAATTCATATCGTATTCTAATATAGCCCTGAATATGTTATCTTTCTCATTTGGCGTCCATTGATTCAACAGAAGAGCAGGTGCAGACGATAATTGATTCATTAGCTGACTCCTTTATTTGGTCAAAATCAGGAACATACAAAAATATGAGAGAAATATAAACATGGTTTGAAATACTGTGTAAGTTTACTACGGGAATTCAAAGATAATGAAAATCACAATTGTAATAACAATAAAGGGGTACAGCATTATATATAGTGTCGTAAAAATAAACAATAGAAAAAAAAATTATTTACTTAGACTAGTATAGCCCACAAAAACAATGTATACATCCACAAAATACATTTATCAAAATCATAGGCCATACTATATTTTGGACGCGAAAAATATCAACCTACAGCCAGACAGTAAGCTTTCTAAAGCAATTCTTGCAATCGATCAATCCAACCAATCAATCAATCAATCAACCGATTAGTCTAAATTATATAAATTAATAATTGATCTAATTATTATTATATAAATTAATAATTAAATCTATTGATTTAATTATTATTATAATAAATTAATAATTATATCAATTGATCTAACAATCATTTATTATAATAATGCTGGCTAGCTAATAGTAGTTTTCGCAAGCCGACGAAAACGATAACGATACGTTTACGTCATCAAATTTCTAGACAACCCTCCTAAACACCCATACAGCAGCGTGTCCGTCACAACGTAGGCCTTCATGCCTTTTGCATGAATCAAGCATCCCATTCAGCTTGTACAGAATATTGTCAAGAATGTTTTAAGCACGAATGACGATAATGATAATGACGTATTTGTATTCATTATCGTTTTCGTAAGGTCATTAACTTGACCGGAAGAACTCACTGTTTGGATGTGATTCTGTAGTGCGATTATTGAGTATAATACGATTGAGTGGTGCTGTCACGGCTGAGGATAATCGGCAGAAAAGCCATATTCGGCAGTTACGGAGTACAAAGTTCGTAAAATTGAGTCAGTCGAAATTTATCAAGATACAATAAAAAATAATAATGGATTGAGTGTTGTTCTGCTAATATACGAATGGTGTTGGCGTGAAGAAAACTCCGTAAGTGACAAGCAGAACTGCCGTCAACTAAAAAATAAGCGAATTCATGCAAATACAAATCATCCGTCTTGTTGAATGTAAAAGTGGTATTCTAAAAGTTTAACCACATTCTTCAAAAGCGCAAGCTCTGGACGTATAGTTCGACCATCTTTCTGTATTAGTTTACACGTTATAACATTATATGGATAAACATCCACTTACGTTCAGCTACTGTCTTTCCCGCTATTTTCTAGTAGTTTCATCAGCTCGTCAATATACGTCATCGCCATGTGTAGTGTGTCGTATTTCGACAATTGTTGGTTTCCTCCGAGCGATGGTAAAACGGCTCGAAGTTCATCAAACGCAGTGTTCAAACAACCCATCCGCCTGCGTTCTCGAGCGTTGGCAGCGAGTCGACGAACGGGTTTACAACTGCTATTTGTGCGCGTGCACTGTCTTTGGCAAGACCAGTCGTTACAGCATGACGATACGTTGGCAGGAGTTTTAGCAGGTCTCATTCTGGTGCGTGACTTGATGAAAAACTGACTGGTAGCATTCCGTCTTGATATACTAATTTCGTCCGTTGGTGAATAAGTTTTATTTTCAGTTTCTTTTTCAACAACACATATATTTGGAACATTTCCCTTTTCTTCGTCGTCATTTAAAAACTTAATAACACGATTTAATGAATTATCTGCCATTCCGACGTTCTTTAGCTCTTTCCGAATGTTGATTGTAAAATGGAGCAAATTTGTTAGGATATATAGTATTTGGGAGTGCCGAAAAGTACTCGAGCACACGTTTGAAACTCGTTTCGCAGGCATCGCGTATTTGGTTTTCATTTACCAACTGTTGCCAAGATACTTTCCGTCTGCCTGCTGCTGTCGTAGCGAATTCAAACGCACAACTCAGAGCGCACATATTTTAATCCGTCATATTCCTACCGTCAGCAATCTGATATGACGTCATATTTTATGTTAATCTATAACTAGAAAAGTCGCCAGATACTAAGCGGACTTAGTTAATCAGACCAGACATTGGATACATTAATCAAGTCAATTGTGACGGCACATTAAGAGCATGAACCTACATCTGCTCGTGCACGCGTAATAATGTAAATGCTTCACCCAAACATATTTATATTCGCTATAAAAAATAATTAACAATTGGTCTAAATTAATTTCTTCTGGTTTTTAATAGATTAGCCTCTATAAATTGAAATATATTACATTAAGGTTGCATAAGTTCGTTCTTATGAGTCGTCCTCATTCTCTCGCGTACAACGTATCATAGCTATCAGCGCCTGCGTAACATTTAAATGAGGATACGCGCAGCCTGATACCCAATTAAAGTGCTAATTTTCACGAGGTATTCAGCCAATCAAACCTTTCATTCTTTTTTCATGGCATTACTATATTAACTACGGTACCAAATAATACAGCGGATTAGTAAAGTTTTATATCTGGGTTAATATATATACAAAATTGATCTACTTTTCAAAGTAATCTAGCATATTCTTAGTACCTGTATTAACGATATACCACAATTCATTTTGTTGTACTTTATAGCACAACTAAATAATGTCAT